TGTGAGAGTTGGAGTGTTGACAAATATTGATTGAAATCGCTTAATACGCGGTAATAATAAGCGTAATGTGGTTGCCGACGATTTGTTGAATTTCAAGCAACCCATCAACCAGTTAGCTTCAAAGGCACTAATAAAAATAATATGTTGATATCGATAGACAACAATCCATCGTGGAGGACGCATAAATGGATCTAATGATATTCCTTTTGTCTCAGTCACACGCTGAAATTCAGTAGAAACCCAAAAATTTGATGGCCAACTATTTGGTTGACATTGCTTAAAAAACTTGGTATCAGTGAAGGCATGTGGTAATGTATGAAAGACATTAGATAATTCTGCCAAGTTCATGACTTTACTATTTATGTCGCACAATTGTTTGATTTCCTCACATAGTCTGGGACAACATGGCTTGACAGGTAGAGGCTGTGCTAATTGTCGTTCTTCTTCCAATTCATGTTCTAGTTCTCGCTGTTGTTCTTCATCTAACAATTGAGATAGACGTTGTTTTGTTCCACCATATTCGTGCAATCGTTTTAGCACTACATTGTGAATATCTGTCGATAAATGATGATTACACTGTTGACTTCGGCCAAAATAAACTTTTTCAATTGTCTCCAATACTTTAGCTGGACCATATATACGTTTCAATTCAATTATTTCTGGTTCCAAACATTCGCTGACCAATTTTTTCATCATTGTACAGGTAATCGATTGCTGTTGATTTTCCCATTGAATCACTTGAAATGCACTAACTTTTCGTTGAAAACTTAGACTTTGTGTAGCCCAATGATGTAATCCATCCCAAGTTGATTGTTTTGTATTCTCATAAACCCAACGAAGAATATCGATTAGATTGACGGAAATATGAATAGTTTCTTTTTGATTTTTAATATGTGAACGTTTTTTCAATGTTATTATTTGTTGATGAACTTCATTTGAACTCCAAAATGTTAAAGAATGCCCTTTTCCTAGATTTCTCATTCTCATACAAGCTTGAGCAAAACGATATTTTGTTAAACCATTTCCTAATGTAACTGCAGCTTGGAAACCATTTGGAAATTTAAAATCAGTTCCTCTCGTATGAATTTCATCTAAATAAAATACACAACGATCTAGTCGTTCACTTGCAGGTGATGTTTCAAATCGATAATGATGAAGTTGACGATCACAAACAACAATAGAATCTAAATCAAAATAAACGGCATAATCAATCTTGTCTTTTTTAGATAGATATAACCATTTAACAGCTATATCTCGATTAGTTCCATCAATAAATAGTGCGCCGACATCTAAAATAACACTAATAGTTTTTTTGTAATTTATTATTTGATTTAAAATATCTTCTGAGGTAGTATTAAATGGTAAATATTGGTAACTTTCATTTCCACGCTGTAGTAAATTATTAACAACGATGGCATCAGTTTTTTGAAGTTCAGGTAAATCGTATTGTTGAATATGAACTGGAAGTAATAATTGTGTATCATTAGTACCACTAAATCCAGTCACTATTTTTGATCGTAAAGATGACGATAAGTCCCAAGCTGATGCTACTAATTTATGAGGAAATTGTTTTGCTTCTCGAGGAAATACAAAATGATTTAGAAAATAATTGACAACTATCATATTATATCGTAGAGTCGGAAACAGATCATGAGTTCGTTGTTGATAATCTTTTAAATTAACTCCTTTCCATTGTTTGATACTTGTAGGTACTCTGTCTTGTTCTTCGGCTAAGATCCATTGTTCATAGATGGATGTAGGATCAGTTTCTTTTTCACTCAAACGATCGAAGCATTGAATCAATTGTGAATCGCTTAAACCAGAGTAATAATAAGAGAGTTGTGTTAATACTAAAGCAACGTCAGGATGACCGAATTCAGTTCTATCAGCAGCAACATCTTTTGCACGAAATGGCACAGCCATTAAACGATGAAATGAAGGATTTGACGTGATACCATAGTTAACTCGATATCTTTTTTTCAAAGCAACTAATAAAACTTCTGATGATAGCAAACCACGAATGATAAGAAATTGTTGAATATCATGCTGTGAAAATTTATTATCTAGTTGTTCAATGGATGAATTTGTTGCTAAAATGAATGATAAGATAATTTTTTTATCTTCATGTCGATAAGATTTTTGATTAAGCCAATCGTTAGCTACAATTTCACATAACAGTAAAAATGGCTGATGTGATTGCAAACGAAATTCTGGAAAAGCACTTTTTCGTGGAGGAGATTTATAGCAAACTTCTTCACTGACACATTTTGAAATAGATAGAGCGTGTTTTTTGACCAAATAAAGTACTGTCTGAATGATATTCCAACGTTCTGCACCTCCATCAACGTTTTGTTGACTACCTACAGTATAAACCAGTTGATATTTTACATGTAGAATTTCATCAGATTCATCTAATACATCACGAGCAAATAATTTTAGCCATCGTTGAACTGTCAACACAGAACGACCAACATCAAATTCATTTCGACGGCACTTGTCTATAGTAAGCAAATCGAAGGATAATATATCTTCTGGTGAAGTTAATATGACATCACAATTATGTAAACCTTGCTTGAGACGATTAAAAATATGATTAATTTGTTTCTCATTAAAATTCATGTCACGACGACATAAAAAGGAAAATATGCGTCTATTCAGTAAACCACCTAATTTACATCGTAATGATTGATAATTTGTTGGGAATAAGGATTTAAGAACTACTATACGAACTAAACTGGAATCAGATGAAGCTAAACTAGCAGCTAACATTGGTAAAATAACAGACGTTTTACCTTCTCCCATATTCATTTGCAGTACCAAATTTTTTACTTTAGTCTTATTTGTTGCCATACCTGTTTGCATCATATGACGTGCTACGTTTATTTGGATTTCTCGAATGGTTATGTTCATTTCCAGTTCTAAGATTAGCCAAGGGACATGTTCAGATGGTTTCCAGTTTGAATGTGGTGTATTTGATATTTCTTTTGCAAAATCTTCCAATTTGTCATGAATGGCATAATGCAACGCTCTTTCTAGCTGCTGTTCTAACGTCCAACAGACAAGAATACCACCTAGTAATGTAAGTTGATCGTTATTCAAAGGAAATTTTGCTATATTTTGTTGTAAGAAAGCAATGAGGATTGTCGGAGTGATTCGTGAGATCAAACCTATTTCGAATAATTGTTCATTAGATACTGTAATAGATTCTATTAATGCATTCCAGCTTTGTATGGATTCTTTCTGCAAGCAGTTGAGACGTTCTCTGATTTCTTCGATCGAAGGATTTTCTTTTCGAATTTGTTCGTCCAATAAAAACTTTTTCCAACTTTGTTTTAACTGATTTTCAAAATAATTGTCAATTTCACTCAAAGGATTCTCTTTATGGTTGATAGAAGGGAAAATATGATTTGGGAATGTCATTTTTCGATTGGCAGTTTGAGAAGAGATTATTGACTTATTGAAATGACCTGAATAAGGAAAGTAAAATTTTCTAAAAGCACTTTCTAACAGTTTTTGATCAATTAATTTTTTTATCCATTTGACTTGTAGTTGATAGTGTTCTTCAATTGATTCAACTGCGAACTGCTGAGGATTATATGATATTGTAGTATAGAACTGTTCTATCAGACTGGAACAAAAGAGACTTTGAATAGATTCTAAAAACGATCGAAGTTTTCTATTATTTTGCCAAGAAATGAATAACTTATTAATCTGAGACATTTCACTAGAAGTTGTCAGTTTACTTTTGTCTTCATAATAACAATCATTCTGCCAAGAATTTTCGATTTCTGCGATTATTCGATTTCGTATGTCTGCTGTATAGTAACTTGATAGGTTGATCCGCTGCCGTACAACTGAAATTTCTTCAATATTGGAATATTCAATGAATGGAGGAAATGTGACAATAGTTGTTAATGCAACAGGCATTTTAAATGCTGTTTTAAGCATTTGAAAATAAAATGGTTTAATTTTAAGTTTGTCGGAGATGTAATGAAGAAAGTTTATCAACTTTTCACACCGTTCGATTTTGTCTTGATTGTTTAGAATTGTTGTTATCTTGAGATTATTAACCATTTTCAATAAACCAATCCATGTAGTTTTCAAATGATTTTCATCATTCAGCCATTGGGACAAGGGTAACCAATGCTGTTGGGAACAGTCTTTAAGATTGACATTTCCTTTCTTATATAAATCATCAATAGGCCGAACAATGATGTGGTTAATTGCATGTGAACAATAATTTGGAGCTGGTTGATATGGTGTCGTGCATAATGAGTGCAGAATATTTTCTTCCATCTCTGCGGATAACTTAGCTATAGGATTGTACGAGTCTCGATAATCCCAATAAAGTTTTTTTAACAATGATTCATTATACGAGTTGTTTTCAAATATTTCGGGCATCTTAGTACAAATGAATGATGAATACATGAACTCCAACTGTTGGCTTGTTTCAATTAATTTTTTTGCTATCAAATAGTATCCAAAATGTTGCATGGAATAAGGTATACCATTATTATTCCAATCTATTTTTTCCATACTAGTCAGATGTTCTGGATAGTAATCTACTTTTGGCGATATGGCAGCAATTTGACTCAATATATTTAGAGAAAGAGAATCAAAGGGTTGATCTGACCAACAACCAGCTGAATTTAACAATTGAAAAGCGCGTTCCATTCCAGTCATTCCAGTATACTGATCTGGTAAAGGATGGGATGTCATTGCATGTAACAATGCTAAATAAAGCCAACCAGTAGGACTATCAGTCGATTGTAAAATTTTTAATCGATCATTTAGAATAAAAACAAAATATTGGTGAAGAAAAGATACTGACGATGATCGCTGTATAATAACAGCTTGCTGATTGATGTCGGATGTCTTTTCACTACGTAATTCTCCAAAAGGTACGATCAATTTTCGATACGGATAGCGTTCCATTTTATGGTTGTTGTTGACAGCTAATGGTGATAGGAGAAGACCAGATGTCAAACTTGTTAAAGTTCCGAACAATTGATGTTCATCAACACACATATCTGAATATTCACGAGACATTATTATATTTGTTCTAGGATCGTATTGAAAAGCAATGCCTAAACGTGATAAATGAATATGAATGATACAATTTGTCTGATCAATATTATCTCTCATCATATATATATATAAGGTTTATCATCTAGACGAATAAAGTATCGATTAAATAAGCTTTGAAAGAATGTTGATGATTGATTAATCAAAATTTGTGTATTAACTCGTTCAGTTGTAGTAACATATCCTGTCCTCATGGACAATATATAAGATTTATTAGTTAAAAAATTGATATCTTTAAAATGAACGGGACGAAACTCGATTGTTTGATTTTTTGTATTCCACCAATGGCTGTGATTAGAGACAAACATATCTGGTAGTTCATTCTCGAAAAAACTATGAGGAATCAATTGAAAGATATCATTTGTCTGCATGTACCGTTCTTTAATAATTAAGTGATTATTTCGATCATTGAAATGAAAATCGTATTGAACGAGTCCAGTACCATGATACGAATGTTTAGTAATGTAAGTATTAGGTGAATCAGCCGCTTGAACTTCAAAGATATGAGCACCAAATACACGAACAAATGATTCATGGAAGATGATTTTGTCAGGTAAAAAGCCTATAGTCATATTATCGATCAAAAAAGTTCCTCTTATAAAATCAATTGATATAACTCTCGAATCATATTGACAATCGTACCAACCATCATATGGATTTTCTGTTCGCTTTGTCCACTGTCCATTCATGCTACCTTTTCTTTTAGTGACTGCCCAGTAGATCACTGTAAATTCATTCAAACCTTGATAGAATGTTTTCTGTAGAAATTTGGCAACTGTTGGTTGTATCATTACTAAGACCCGTTCACTAAATCGCATAATATTTCTTATAAAAATACTCATATTGGCCCGATTCTTGGTTAATATTATATTATCGTGAACAGTAGTTGCTGCTTTTAATAAGGATACAATATCTTCATTCGATGACAATAAAAAATTGATTCTTTGTTGGTTAGTTGAAAATGTCAAAATGCAAGAAATGCCAACAGTTACCATTTTAAGACGAAGATTTTCCACTTCATCCAAAGCTGATGGTGATATAGTTTGAATACTTCTTGTAATGAAATTAATCCATTTTTCAGCAATTTTACGACATTTTATTGCTAAATTAGCAGCTTTATTTTTCCTTGTTGTATTACAAATGCTTAACACTCTCATCGTAATCATTGTAATGACGACTAATACTAATTCATTCTGCCAATTTAATGCACAGTCATCTAAATGACGATTCAATCTTGAGATTAACTCATCGACAAAATGATCTTCCAATAATTGTTGATGTGATTCTGGACACCACGAATCAGACAATATATTTGAATCTGATATTAACGGACCATATTGTAATATCGAATGTATAATCAGTATTGCTACACTCTCTTCAGCGAAAGATAATGAGTCCATCTCAAGAATTGTTAAAAGATTCCACCATTGTAAGCGATGACCGGAACGAAACGAGCCGAATTCTACAATCTGTGAAGGTTTCAAACGTGATGAATAACTACATAGTTGAGCAATGACGTCATTTTGAACGAACTGTGTAGTGTTTATAGTAAACTGTAACTGTTTATAATCTGGATGATCAAGCTGAGGAGTCAATATACGAACTTCATCTTCGAAATCAATTGGTTTGGTAGGTGAGATTTGAATCTTCAGACTATTTTCAAATAGAAAGCCTTCGGTAGGCGTGAATGCAATTGATGGTGGAGTGGAATAGTGAGTTTGACTAATAGACTTAGTAGAAGATACTAATTTAACTTTGTGATTACTGAGACCGGTATAAAACGACTCTAATTTACTTCCATGAGAAGAAACGTTTAACCATTCATGCATACAATTTTTTGGTTGTGGGTTAGGACGATTTATAAATTGCCAAATGATATCTCGATAACATCGTATTTCAATGGGCATTTGTAATTCAAAAATAACGGCTAATGCACTCTCGCGCGTCCATGGTATCGGACATTCGTAAACTTTTACTTGAATCTGGTTTGCTTGTTTCAGAGCTTTGCATCGTTTGCATCGCTTACTCTTATGACGATTGTCAGTATATTCACAAGAAGTATTATTTACTACATTCATTAGTTGCATATACATTTGCTTTGCATTGTTCACTTCGTTTATTTTATTTTGTTTGTCTTGTTCAGCTTGAATTCTAATGCGTTGTATCTCATCATTCATTTGTGGTGAATGATCAGCGAAATATACTCCAAAAGCATTGTTAGATTCTATGTTGTTTAAAAGATCAGGATATAATTTATTATTGAATTCAGTAAAATAATTGTAAAGACTACGTGCCCTAATCATATCTTCTCGATTGGGTAAGACCAAAAATTCGAACAGCTTTAAAACGTTGGGAATATATATAGAATGTAGTTTTAGCCGTTCAAATCTTTTATCTTGACATAATTTTTTATGCATACAACGAATAATTGTCAATGATGTTAGAATGAATCGGCTGTAATTCATCGGATCTGTTGGACCATTTTCTGACCAATAATAATTCAACACTTCAGTCTGATATTCTTCGAAGAAATGCAATAAAATTTCGAAACGATTCTTTCCACTTATGGATAGTGATGGGCGATTCATCCATTGTTCTAAACAGGATTCAATCCAAATTTCCATATAAGTTAAAGCTGTTACAA